ATGGGGAACTTAAAAGAAAGTTAATTATTTGATATGAATTTATTTAAAAAAGTAAGATTATTCATGATGCAATGTTGAGACAGTGTATATTGTAATGCACTGTGTTGTAATAGAAATTAAGAATACCAGTATCATAGCTTAGCATTTTGTAAAACTTAAGTACACATATGTATCTGTTTTTACATTATATTTTCTATAGTGCCTTAAATGTTTATACTAGTTATACCAAAATTTTATATGATATATACTATTAAGAAAATAATTATAAATGTGTCACACAAAGCTATAGGTACGTAATGTTACGAAAAATGGTCATTAAGTATAAATGATTTTTGTTCAAATGTCACATATATTTTTTATATTTTAATGCAAAGGATGTAAAATGCTTTATTTCCTTTTTAACGGGTTAAATTATCTGAATTAGAAATCTATTTAAATTATTNTGCGGAGAGCTTCGCGAACGCGCATGAGCACGCATGAGGGGAATAGTAGTGGGGATCGAAATACGGGCGAAAAAGAGGGGAAGCGAACCGTGCGGGATAAAATATCCGAGCCCTGCCCTAGTCCCTAGCTGCCTAGCTGTCAACAGTGTCAACTGTCAGTTCAAGTTGCTCTGCTCTGGTTTTCTGTATGGTGTGGTGTTACATCTAATTCACACAAGTGTTACGATTATTAGAAATTCTTTCGCACTTGCAACCGTAATAAAAAGACATTTGTGTTTCATCATGGGAAACCTCTGTTTATCTTGCTGTAAACAGACATCGTATTCGTGTGAAGATCTACAACCAGATTTGGTGAGATAAATAATGTTTTAGGTTATGTTATTTGTATATCAAAGATTAGAGAATGGTTTGAATTTCAACGGAAGAAATATTTGTTTCTATAGGAAACTAGAAGAAGAATGCAAAAGGAAGCAGCAGAAAAAAGAATTGCTGAAGAACAAAGCAGAGGTATTAAGAATATTGACGCTGTCAAAAGACAAGAAAGATTAGATCAGTTACGCGATAAACGTCTAGAAGAAGCTAGTGGTGGCAGTACACAAAATAATTTGAAGGTAAGATATTCAATATTTGTAATTGCAGTATAAGACTCACTTGAGATTATAAGATTTTTCTTGGTTATGTATTTTCCTTATATTAAAATTCTTATCATGTACATTTGTAATATTCAAGAGTGAAAACAGACCTATATGAACATAAAATTGTCTCTTTCTTAGTGTTAAGCAGTATTATAATGGTACAGATTATGTTATAATGATAAAACTACATTTACTGTTTTAGTGGCAAGTCAGCTAATGGGGAACTTAAAAGAAAGTTAATTATTTGATATGAATTTATTTAAAAAAGTAAGATTATTCATGATGCAATGTTGAGACAGTGTATATTGTAATGCACTGTGTTGTAATAGAAATTAAGAATACCAGTATCATAGCTTAGCATTTTGTAAAACTTAAGTACACATATGTATCTGTTTTTACATTATATTTTCTATAGTGCCTTAAATGTTTATACTAGTTATACCAAAATTTTATAT